CCCCGCCCGGGCGGCGGCCCCCCAGCCTCTGCCCTCGGACGAGTCTCCCGCTGCTCATCCGCTCTCCAGTGAGTCACCAGCGAAGGGCCTGCACCCTCCCCTGCCCTCGGACGAGTCTCCCAGCACTGCTCCGCCTCGGTGGCCTGGGCTGTTGGATGAGTCTCCTGCCCTTGCTCGGATCCCGCAGCCTGAGCTGTTGTGTGAGTCTCCTGTTCCTGGCCCGCAGCCCCTGCTGTCAGGGGAGGCGCCCGGCCCCGGTGGCCTGCAGCATCAGGCATTGGACAGGCCTCCTGCGGCTGCAGCACCGAGGCTACTGCTGTCTGGGCAAGCGCTGAGGCCGGTGGATCAGAACACCCAGCCCAAAGCGAGGGGGGCCGCAGTGGCAGCGCTGGAGCCGCAGCAGAAGGAGCGAACGTGTTTCCCTGAGCAGCAGCCCGCTCGCCCTGCAGGGAAAGGTGCGCCACACGTGGGCCAGGCCCCTGGGCCCACGGAGAAACTGCAGACGCGGGAGCTGACGCACTGGCCTGCTGGGAAAGTGCTGGCCCCTGCAGAGCAGCCCCCGCATGCCACCGAGAAATTCCCGCCCTCTGAGCCAGCTCCTCCGGCTGAGCGGGAAGTGGGCTCAGCACGCACGGAGCAGGCCCCTTGGACAGCAGCGAGGTTACAGCCCCCCCGGCCTGCCAGGGAAGCCCCCGCGCCCCCCGAGCAGGCTTCGTGGCTTGCCAGGAACATTCAGACACTGGAGCGGGCCTCTTGGCTCTCTGGAAAAGCACAGATGCCCCTGGGGCAGGCCCCTTTGCCTGAGCAAAACATAGTGCTGGTCCATACCCAGGGCTCTCCCAGGCAGGGACTGGCTGAATCGAGCCTGAAGTGAGGCCAGTGCCGAGGCAGGCAGGGTGCAGTCGGTCAGTTTGGGGGGGTTTTCTTTGGCCCAGCTGCTCCCACGACACACGCAGGGGCGCTTCCCGAAAGTGGCAGCGCGAGCAGCCTGTTCCTCGTCCTCCTGCAGAGGGTAGTGTTGGAATAAAGAGTCCGCTCCGCACAACCCTGGTCCCGTTGCTCCCGAGCGCTCTGTGGCAGGAGAGTGTGCACTGCGCCGGGCCGGGCCATGGCACAGTCACTGGACACGCTGCAGAAGGGAAGGGCTTTGCACTCGTGATGCTCGGGTCCCCTGGCCGGCGTTGCCGGGGGCCGGGCTCTCCAGAAACGGGCCGGCTGTAAAGCGGCGGGGGCCCCGT